CCAGCCATAGGGCACATGGCCACCCCCAGCCATAGGGCGCATGGCCACCCCCACCCCAAGGTGCACGGCTGTCCCTACCCACACCCCTGATGCACTGCAGCAGGTTTATGGTCCCTTGCCTCCTGGCTCGCCACAACCCCCCATGGCCCCCAGCCCTGTGCTGGCACCATCGCTCCGGGCGCTGTGGTTTCTGACCCCATCGATGTGACTCCTCTGTTGTTGGTCTGTTCCAGCACTCGGGAATTAATAGCTCTGATGCGGAGGTGCTGACCCTGTATAATGTGACAGAGGCGGAGAGCGGGGAGTATGTTTGTAAGGTTTCCAATTATATTGGCGAGGCCAACCAGTCTGCGTGGCTCACTGTCACCAGACCTCTGGCAAAAGGTAATCGGAAGGACGCCCAGTGGGACGCTTTGGGACCTCCAGTCCCCAGCGGTGGAAAACACAACTCTGGGCTCTCTCGTTTCTGCTGTACTTCTGGTGCAAAAAGCCATGGAAAAATACCCCGCCGGGGCCGGCTGGGCTGCGTGCCGTGTCCTGTCCCCCCCCTCCTTGTGCTCCCTGCTCTGTGCTGTCCCCGTGTCTCCGTCCTCGTGCTCCCACCTCCCTCGATGCCCAGCCGGCCCTCCCCGAGCTCTATTTTTCCATGTGGCCCATTGCCAGCATGCTCCGATGGGCAGAACCGTTGGTGAAGGGTTTTTAGTGGCGTCTCTTTAGGTCCGCCCGGATGAGGGGTCATCCGGAGGGTCTCTGCCAGGGGTCTCCACGGTTTCTTGCCTGCTCCCGGGGCTCTGCCAAATCAGGCTGCTCCCTCCTCTCTGCCTCTCCCCCCCAGAAGATCTCATGTCGTTTGCTTCTCCGTTTTTTGCTTCCACTCTCCCCCTCTAGACGGCTGGCGTTAACACGACAGACAAAGAGATGGAAGTCCTTCACTTAAGGAATGTCTCATTTGAGGATGCTGGGGAGTATACATGTTTGGCGGGTAATTCTATTGGGATCTCCCATCACTCTGCATGGTTGACAGTTCTCGAAGGTATATACTCCTCTTCCTGTCCCTTCTCCTCCCTTGTTTCCACGTGTGTCGGATGCATTGCTGGGGCTGTCGCTTTGCTTTGGGTGTCGATGGGCTGCTGGGCCCATCGTTGCTGCGCGGATCCACGCCTGATACAGCAGGCAGGGAAAGTTTTTGGGGCGCTGCGTGGGCGCCGCTCTTCTGCCAAAAGCTTTGCCCTGTTATCAGCCGCTGCTTGGGTGGTGCTGCTGGGAACACGCAAGGTTTTGGCTCTTCTGCCTCTCTCTGAGGGCTCTGTTCTCTTGGGGGAGGGGGGGCAGGTTTGGGCTGCTGGGGGTGATGGCAGCTCCCAGGTTTGTGGCTGCGCCGTTCATAGCTCCGCCACCCCCCTAAGTCACAAAGTGGGGCTGTGTTGTGGTGCGCAGGGATGGGATCTCCTCTCCCATCCTGCAATACATCACTGCTGCTGCTGCTGCTGCAGGTGCTTCTGGCTGCTCGGCTCCATCTCCCAGCACCCAGCGGTGCCTTCCAGCCCACCGTAACCACAGATCCCAATGGGTGTGCAGCTCAGCGTGGGCAGAGCTCAGCCCCACAGGACGGTGCAGGGGAGAATCCCCATGTAGTCCCCATGCAGACTGCATGGTGCCGTCCCACATAGAGTGGAGATGGGCACGGACCCCTGCTTCACACTCTGCTTTCCTGCCCCAGGCAGCTGCAGGTGCAGCGTGCATCCCAAGGGCATGGGTACGATGCTTATGCCAAGGGTGTGGGTGCAGCGCCCACCCCATGGGTGCAGTGCAGCATCCCAGCAGCCTGACCGCTCCCTGCTGCACGTGGGAGCATCCCACACCAACCTCCACCTCTGCTGAGAGGAGCCAGGCTCTGCCCAGCCTCACTCTTTGCTCCCGCTGATGCCTTTTCTGTGCCAACCCAGCTATTGAGGACTCACCAGCCATGATGACGTCCCCCCTCTACCTGGAGATCATCATTTATTGCACCGGCGCCTTCCTCATCTCCTGCATGGTGGTGACAGTCATCATCTATAAGATGAAGAGCACCACCAAGAAGACAGACTTCAACAGCCAGCTGGCCGTGCACAAGCTGGCCAAGAGCATCCCACTGCGCAGACAGGTAACAGAAAGTAGAGAGGGGGTTTCTTGGCTCCTACTGCCCCTCCTCAAAGAATTGCCCTTTCCCTGGGTTGGGATGGATGGTGCACCATGGCTGTCCCTCGCCATGCTGTGTGCGTGGCCCCGTGGCAACGAGAGTAACCAGGAGGATTTGTGGCCATTTAATATTGAGATGAAGAGTGCGTGCTGAGCACCGAGGATCCCCAGGCTGTGCGTTTTGTGGTACCAGCAAGCAGGAAATCAATTGCAAACGATACAGGCGTGCTCCAATGGGGAGCAGCAGGGAGTGTTCAGGAGTTGGGGGGGGTCCCGGTCGTTGTCTCCCCACTGGGAATGGGCGGCCGTGGCCCCAGCGCTGCGTGAAGGTAACCCACAGCCCTGCTGCAGGTGTCGGCTGACTCCAGCTCCTCCATGAACTCGGGTGTGATGTTGGTGAGGCCCTCACGGCTCTCCTCCAGTGGAACCCCCATGCTGGCTGGTGTCTCTGAGTATGAGCTGCCCGAGGACCCGCGCTGGGAACTGCCACGGGACAGGTGAGGATGGGGTGGGATGGGATGGGGATGGGAATGGGAAGGTTTGAGGTGGGGTGAGATGGGATGGGATGGGGTGGGATGGGGTGGGATGGGATGGGGTGGGTTGAGGTGAGTT